CAACCTTTCCCTAGGTCTGTAAGCAATGTCTGAAATACTCTGCACTGAAGTTTCCAGAAAAAAAAGACTGATCACAACAATAATGTTACCGCATTTATTATCCATACAGTGAATTTACTGTGAATTGCGAATATATTTGACATTGTAATAATACATGTACAGTGAATGCTATCAGGTATGTACCTTTTTGTTTGGTTGTGCACTTGAGAGAGGCTTTAATATAAACAAAAAAGTATATAACTATATACATCTTATTTTTCTAGAAAAGCTTTGGAGTGATTCCACTGAAGTGCTATAGATCATATGCTTCATTCTGTGCATTAACTCATTTGGTACGTATATACATCATGAACCTTATTACCCCCAATTTTTGTTACTCTCCTCAGTTGCCATCCTTTATTTTAGCATTTTGATACAAATCAACTATATAGCTTTTCACAACAGTCTTTTGGCTTTTAAGACTAAACAGTAACCACCCTATTAACCAAAAAAAAAAAAAAAAGGAAAAAAGTATTGCCCTAGCTATTATTTCTGTTTGTTCTACATTTTAAAATGACTGTGGAATACACATATAATTCTATCTGACATAAAGAAAATATATTTAAAAAAGCAATTTCAGGATGGAAATACATTTTAAAATACAATCGAAACAGGTAAATATGTTTCAAGTCCTCGTAGCAGTAGCTTCATACTCTTTTCGGCAAATAATCTACAGCCTAAACATAATTGGCATGTTTTAGACATCTAGAATGAATCAGTCTTTTTACTGTCTTTGCTCCATTCGATGGTTTATTTTGCATGATCAAGAGAATTGTGATTGAACTTTATTAATTAACTATGAACACCTCATTTTCCTTAGTAATTGTTTCTTCTGGAGCAAATCCTAGAAACAAATGTCTTTAATAGGAGCTACTATATGACACATTTATGTACTTGGAAATGCAACTGTAGTGAAGAATATTCTTTAGACTCGATACATTTCAGTTCCATTTTCAGTTCGTTGAAAACTCTTGGAGAAGGTAACATATTTCTGCGTGTCTTTTTTTCTAATACAGTCTGCTTCCAAATTTCCAAGATGTGTTTCAGTCAAGAAAAGAAATCCTCATTTGGTTTCATCTTTAGGAATATTTTGTTGACTAGCTCTTTCCTCTTCCAACAATATTAGTTCTGTTCTTGCTGAAGATGTAACTATAGCACCAGAAACTTGAACATCTGATGAGGTCCCTGTTTCGTTGTCTTCACTTTTTGTTGTTGCTTCTTTAGGCGATAAGCTTTCTTTTGCATCAAAAAATGTATCATGAGTCTCTGAGGGGCTTTCTTCATCTGAACTTTTCCTTTCTTTTAGATTTGTCTCTTCCTTGTCAACCACCTTGGCCTTTTTTGATGGAGATGTAAAACCTAGTTTGGGGAATCTAAACCATCCGGTTTTTTCAGTCTGCTTCGAAGAGTCAGTATCTGATGTTGATGTATCAGCAGGTTGTGTTTCTTCTGGTTTTTTTACTTCGGTTTTGGAATCCAAGCTTGTGTCATCAACAGAGGAAGAAAATCCAATGCTTGGAAGCCAAAACTTGAATCTTCCAGGAGATCTTTTACTATCAGGTTTTTCTTTTTGATCCTTCATATCTTTTTTTTCATCTTCTGGTACTTCAGCTACTTCACTGTCTTTAGAAAGAGGAGATACAGTTACTTCTTCTGGTTGCTTATCAAGAGGACCTTCTTCCAATTTGCTGGAAGGCTGTAGTTCAACCGCGAAGCTTTTCAGTTCTGGCAAACTAACGTTGGCAGACACTGCCATACCAGATACTTCAGTCTCGCACCGTGGCTTATCAAGTAATTCATGCTCAGCAGTATCAGTCCTTTCCATTGCTGTTCCTGAACTGTCATCAGAGTGTTTAACTTGGTGAACTTCACTCTCAAACTCAGCACTTTTATATTCTGTATATGACTGCTGTTTGACCGGTATATCCAAGTTAATCTGCGATTCAGGAATCTTTGCTTTGAGAAGTGAAAAGCCAAAAGTAGCAGTTTTAATTTCTGATGGAAGAATCTCAGATTCTTTCACTATCTGAGTGGAGTAAGTTTCATGTTTTTCAATGTCAATACGTCCAGATTCAACATTACCTTCAGTCTTTATTTGTTTGCTCTCTACATGCGACCTTGGACTGTCTAGTGCTGCTTTTGGAATACAAAACTCTGCGGCAGGCAACATAATTTCTACCTGTGTTGTTTTAATATCAAGCTCAGTTGATGGTGGAAAGCTGGCTGTTGACCTTTGTATAGTCCCACCTACAGCCTCTAGTATTTCTGGAGGGACTGCACTTCCCACTTCTAGTATTTGTGCTTCAGTGCCAACAGCAGTTCCTTTGGCATCTATTGTCATTTTGGATGTTGAAACATCAACTTCAGGAGGGAGTGCACTGTAAGTGAAACTTGGTATTCTCAATTTGGGAATTTTAACATTGATCTCTGGCTCACGTTGTTGGTCTGTACTGTCCACTGACATTCTGGTTGATGGTTCCTTAAGTTCTGTCTTTGGACCTTTCAGATCAATGGATCCTTCCTCTTTTTGAAGCTGGATTTCTGCTATACCTATTTCAGTTTCAGGCAGTGAAACATCTCCTGTTTCCTTTGTTGCAGACCACCCAAGTGAAGGTACACTGAATTTGGGGATTTTGAATTTACTTTCTTTTCCTTGGATGTCCTTTCCTGCAGATTTTATCTCACCCTTTCCCTTTTCAGTTTTAACTGACGTAGTTAGGCCTTGAATGTCCAGTTCTGCCTTTGGAAAAGCGAAGTCTGATTTCCCGTGTGTTCCATCCACGGTAATTTCACCGGGTGCTGCTCTGACTCCTGTGTCTGGACTCTTCACTTCAATGGGACATTCTGCTGACGGGACCTCTACACACTCTGATTTGGCTTTGTGTTCTTGAAGGGTCAGATCGTATCTGGGAAGCGTAATGGTTTTCGAAGCACTAATTTCTGATGCTGTGAGTTCTACCTGAGGACCTGCAGTTTTTGGCATGTGAACTTGTAATTTTTGTCCGTCAGCACTGCGCTTAACTACATCAGCATAAGTTTCAGTTTTTGGAAAACTCACGTCAATGCCTGATTCTTCTGCAGTTAGTGAAACATCTGCTTCAAACTTTGACAAACTGACATCAGAACTCTTTATTTGGGGTACTGAAACTCCCAATTTTGGAATCTCTTCTTGAACAGATTTCATTGTGCTTTCCAAAACAGCTTTTCCAGCAGCAGATTCAGCATCTACCTGTGGCAACAAGTTTGCATTTTCAGGAGCACTTATTTCACCTTGTATTTCCACAGAAGGAACACTTATTTGAGCCTTTTCCAGACTTCCTTCAAAGTCAATGTCACTTTTTTTTTCCTTTGAAGACGAACGACCAAATGTTGGCATTCTGAATTTGGGCATTTTAAACCAGCCCTGATGTTCTCCAGTCTGAATTTCTCCAGACTTTGTTTCATGTTCTCCTTCCATTTTTATATCTTTCCCCTCGGGGCTTAGAATTGCCACCTCTGCCGTTGAGTCAGAAACTGATGGGAGACTAATGTCCACCTTTGGAGCCTTAATGTCAGCTGCAGGCAATGGACCCGTTTTGATTTTTTCAGCTGAAGCCTCTAGTCCTTCACCAGAAACATCAGATTTAACTTTTGGTACTGAAGTGTCCATTGCAAGATCAGTAATATCTGTTGTCAATTTAAGCTGAGGAACCTCAGCTTCCATTTTGGGTAAACTGATCTCCGTCTCAGGCCCTTTCCCTTTTGTAAGGGAGATTCCAAACTTCGGCTTCTGGAATCCAGGCATTTTAATTTTCCCTTCAAGATCTTCAACTTTCGCCTCTGCTCCATCCACAGCTGACGGTCCTTCAACATCAGATTCTGGACTCTTCAGCTTAATGGATGCTTCTTTTTCGGGAAGCTTAATATCTGTTTTCAGATTGATATCTTCACTGCCAGACCCTAATATCAGGTCAGCTTGATAGACGCCCGCATCAAGTGCAGGAAGAGTGGTGTCAGCCTTTGATAAGCTAACATCTATGTCTACTTTCGGGGGTTTGATCTCTGGTTTTGAAAATTCTAAAGTAGGGATTTTCACTTTTGATGGTTTTATGCTTATTTGTGTCCCCTCGTCCATGATTTCGCTACAACTGCTTTCTATATCGGGTATCTGTACTGAGTCATCTCTATCAGCTTCCCCTTTTGGCAGATTAACCTGAGATTTAGGAACCTTTATTTTAGAGAGTGATATTTTAGGCATGGCAAACTGAGGCTTTTTCATTTGACTTTTTTGTTCTTCTTTTCCAGTTGATACTTTAATATCAGGATCTACACTAGAACCCTGATCCTCAGCTGGAATTACTGTTAGCTTGGGGTCTATTTTGCCTGGAGCTACAGTAATTTCATGTTCTTCCAATGTTACTTCTGAATCAGCTTTAACAGTTGCTTCCTTCTTTGGTGACCAACTAAATGATGGTAGTTTAAATTTTGGCAATTTGAAATGCCCTTCTTTCTCATCTCCATCTGCATCTCCAGGTTTGATTTCTCCTTCAGGCTTTACTGCCATATCAGAATCTTGAATCTCGGCCTTGGGAATAGAAACATCAACTGATGGAAGCCTAACGTCAACCTTTGCTGCTTTAAACTCAGTTTCAGACATTTGGTGCATTTTTATTTTATAGCTTGCAGCTTCTGTTTCTGCACCAGGGATGATAGACTTAACTTCTAAAGTTGGTGCTTCCATAGCAATTTCAGTAATATCAGTCATCACTTTCAGGTGAGGAACCTCAGTTCCCGATTCAGCCTCCATCACTTTCCCTTTAGAATGTGAAATGCCAAACTTTGGCTTTTGCAATTTGGTCATTTTGGTCTTCCCTTCAAGGTCTTCAACTTTTATTTCTACTCCACCCTCACCAATACCAGCTGATGGTCCTTCAAATCCTGTTTCTGGACACTTCAACTGTATGGAGCCTTTTGCTGTTGGAATTTTGATATCGGAGGCTGACAGGCCGATACCATCATCCGTAGACCTCAATTTCAGGTCAGCTTCTTGAAGGCTTACATCACAAGTAGGAACTGCAACATCAGTTTTAGGGGAGCTGATGTCCAGGTCCTGTCTGGTGGCTTTGATTTCTGGTTTGGAAAATTCCAAAGTAGGGATCTTAACTTTTGGCATTTTTATGCCTACTCCGGCTTTATCTCCACTGCTTCCTTTCCCTGACATCTGTAGCAAACCATCTCCTTCTGTTTCTAGTGTTGAGCCACTAGTATCAGTGTCTATTTTGACTTTGTGACCCTTCATCTTAGGAAGTGAGATCTTTGGCATGATAAACTGAGGCTTTTTCATTTTGCCCTTTTCACCATCCTTTCCTAAAGATACCTCACTATCCAGTTCCACACTTAGTCCCTGACTCTCAGGGGCAGTTTGTATTATTTCAGATTCTGTTTCTCCGGATGGTGAGGTCAAGATACGCCCCTCCAGGGTTCCTTCAATATCAGATTGAACAATGGCTTCTTTCTTTGGTGACCAACTGAAAGAGGGCAGTTTAAATTTGGGCATTTTGAACTTGCTTTCCTTGCCTTCAGGGTCTTTTTCTTCTAATTTAACTTCACTCTCTCCCTTTACTGCTTTACTTTCCAAATCTGGTCCATGAATGTCCATCTCTGCCTTTGACATTTTAACATCATCTAATGGGAGACTGATGTCCGCACTTGGTGCTTTCCCTTCAGCTTTAGGCTTATGAGGCATTTTGAGCATTGGCATTGGCAATATTAAGTCTGACACTTCAATTTCTGAACTAGATACTTTAGATTTAATATCAAAAGATGGAGTATCAATTGATATGCTGGTGACATCAGCTGCCAACTTTGCTACAGGAGTCTCGGTCTCTGTTTCAGTTAAGTTGAGATCTGTCTTCCCGACTTTACCCTGACCCAGAGAAAAACCAATTTTAGGTTTATGAAACTTGGGTTTTTTAACCTTCCCTTCCAAACCATCAACATTAACATCTGTATCATCCACAGAAATATCAGCATCCACTTCTGCATTCTTCAGCTCAGCAGAACTTTGTGTTGCTGCAACTTGAGTTTCACCCTGAGAAAGGGTTACGTCACTAATGGCAGTGTCAGATTTGATCTCAGGGACTTCAACACTCATTTGATATTTAGTAAGCATAACATCAACACTTGGTAAACTGGATTCCTGGTCCGACTTTAGGGAACTAATATCAAGCTTAGAAAAGCCCAAACTAGGAATCCTAAATTTAGGTAAATTAATATTAACACCGCCAAGATCTCCTTTCACATCAGGAACATCGGCACTGCTTCCTGCGCTTAAAATCAGGATTGGCTCTCCTTCCACAATTATATCTGGATCCACTTTAGATTCAGAAATCTCTTCTTCTAATTTGGGATGACTCCCTGGCATTTTGGAAATTTTTGAAAGTGACACCTTAGGCATTCTAAAATGAGGCATCTTCATTTTCCCCTTCTCCCCCTCTTTGCTGGCAGACACCCCAATCTCGAGGTCCACACCAGGAGCCTGGATCTCAGCGGCAGGCGTGCTGACCTCTCCTTCCATGGTGCCTGCCGGCAAGGTCACCTGGGGCCCGGTGAGGCTCACCTCCACATCGGCTGCTCCCACCCGGGCCTCTTTGGAGCTGGACCACCCAAAGGAAGGCATGCCGAATTTAGGCATTCTGAACTTGCTGTCTTTGCCTTTGGCCTCTTTCTTACCGACTTTCATTTTACCTTCGACCTCCATCTTCCCAGCAGCAACTTCCAGTCCTCCAATCTCCACATCGACGTTTGGCAGAGTGACGTCCACCGATGGCAGGCTGACATCCATCTTTGGGCCTTTGATGTCAGCTTTTGGCATTTGGGGCATTTTCTGGAATGGCATTTGCACTTTCCAGCTGGAGATGTCGGCTTCGGTGTCTGGCCACCTTGGCTTTCACCTGCACCTCGGGGGTCTCCAGCGACACAACCGCCCCCTCGGCTGTCACTTTGGCGTGGGGAAGGTCCCCTTCCACCATAGGCAGGCTGATCTTGCCTTCTGGCACAGGCCCTTTGGGGAGGGAAACTCCAAACTTTGGCTTGTCAAATTTAGGCTTCTTAATCTTCCCTTTCAGGCCCCCGGTGTCCAGCTCGGCACCGCCCAATGCAATCTGGGCAGATGGTGCTTCGGCATCAGTATGGGGCATCTTCACATCCAGGCTGACTTCCAGTGCAGGAACCTTCATATCTCGCGTGGTGATGCTGATATCGCCATCCAAGGGGTCAGCCTTCAGGTCCGCTTGGGGAAGGCTGACCTCACAGGTGGGCAGGGTGACGTCGACTTTGGGGAAGGTGACGTCCACGTCGAGTTTGGGTGCTTTGATGTCGGGTTTGGAGAATCCCATACTAGGCATCTTTACTTTTGGCATGTGGATTTTCATTCCCTTGCCCTCGGCTTTCCCTGCAGGCATGTCGATGCTGCCTTCCGCAGCTGGAACCTTCACTGCTATGTCTCCGCCTTTCATTTCAGCTTGGGTGTCAGGAAGTGAAACATCAGCCTCGGCCTTTGGCAGGCTGACCTGCACGTGTGGCATCTCGACCTTGGGAAGCGTCATGGTTGGCATCTTCATTTTCCCCTTCTCCCCCTCTTTGCTGGCAGACACCCCAATCTCGAGCTCCACACCGGCAGCCTGGATCTCAGCGGCAGGCGCGCTGACC